GGGGTGAGCTAGGCCGGCTGCCGGAGCTGCCCAGGGGGGTTGTCGGGGCCCTGGGGAGGTGGCAGCGCCCTGCCCCGGTGCAGGGCTGTAGCGAAAAGAGCAGCTGCGTTTTGTTCGGTTGTAGCTGTCGGGAGCCTTTTCCTCCAGCGGGCTTGTGTACAGCCGAACAGCACCGGGATCTGGCTGCTGGGAGTTTGCGGTTTGTTTTGGCCAAGGAACTTGCGGCTGCTAGTGGCTTTTAGCAGATTTTCAGATGTAAAGGACGTCTTTTTCTCTCTTAGACCACCCGCCCCCCGCGGTGAGCTTTGTGCACTGCTGTGCCCCTGCTATGCCCTGTTAGTGTTTATAAACGTATTTAAAACCCAAGTGTCTCTTGCTGTTTGCGTTAATGACATTTGCTTTCAGGTTTTGAAAGGGTAAAACACAAATCAAATATTGAACTTGTTTCTGTGTAGACCAGAGCACTTTCAGGTGTGACCATCCCCCATCACTTTGTAGATGGTGAGATTTGTTTCGTAAAACTTATTTTTGTATATGATTTACCTGAGGCCACTCTGCATATTGCCCTGAAATATACTCATCCAAAAACCTTGAGTTTGTTTCACGTAGTATAACTCAGACCTATAAGATTTGCCAAACACATTTCTTAAAAAGGTCTTATTCCTGTAGTTTTTCTTCTTGCTTTTTTTATCCACTTTTTGCAGTGGTTGTAGGTTAAATTAAAAGATGTCAATTTTTTTTTGTACTTCAGCTATTGGTCTGTTCTTGTGTAAACCCACAGTTTTTATAGGTAACTTGTTAAGTACCCAGGCTCAGTTTAGGGGGGAACTGGCTACCACAACTACTTTAAAAGTGAATTTCAGTTTGTCGTGTTTCCTAATTTTGCCACAGAACCTTGTAGCTGATTTTTTTTAATGTTACATTTCAATGCACTGTCATTGTGCTACGATGAACAGTGTTTTCTTATGAACCCGGGAGCAGTAATTTTATTAACATGGAAATAAAACTGTCAGTCTTCAGGAACCTAGGTGGAACCTCACTTTCACAAACTACTGTGCGTTGTCTGAAAAACTGCAAACTTCTGGTACTAGAATTCTTGTTCAGCACACAAAGATTACAGAGATTACCTTAGTTATCTCTCTCTCTCCATTTCTGTCAATTTTCTGTTCACGGAAAACATTTGAAAACTTGCATATTCTTCAAAATAACAATGTGTTCTCTGACCGAATCATGTGAACTACCCAGTTGGTTCAGAAATTAAGATTCTCATTGCATATTCAGAAGAACCATACAAGATTTGTTTGGTTCTTCTTTCTCTGTGTAATCTTGCTTCCAAGAAGACAGGTGGATGGCTTATTTGGAAGTATCTCAGAGCTTTTGCAAATGGAGAATGAACCCAAGCTCAGCCTTTGCTAAGTGAAGGTGCCGTATGGTGACATGCAGCAGGAAGCCCTAAATGATTTCATGTTAAATGACCTTATTTTGAAGTTAAGGCTAGCTGCATCTCAGGAAGCATAGGTGAAATGCATTGTGTGCAAGAATCTTTATACTTCTTGGAGTTTCTAAACAGCTTGAAAATACTTGAAGAATATTAGTAATTTCATTTGGAAGAAAAAGTTGCATCCTTTTCATCAAATTCAAATAATTAATACATAATAAGTTCTAAGCAGTCATTGCTACTGGAAGCAGGGATTACAAGGTAGCAAGCTCTTCAGTAGAAACAGCACCGTTTTTTAAACATGTTCCCAAGTCTTTGGGTACCTTCTTTGTCTAATACGATCAGGTCGGATTTCAGTTTGCAAACAAACTTTTAAGTCTTTGCATTTCATTTAGGCTTGTATTGTACTGTATTTGGAGGTGCTGGTCAGGAGTTTAAGAAATGGCATAGGCTTGGGTTTTAATCATGAGAGAAGTAACTGCTAACTTAAATTTCTTTACTTGCAGAAGCCATTCATGCCATTTTGGTTTACAGCCAAAGTGTAGAAGAACTTTTGAAACGCAGAAAAGTCTATCGAGAAATAATTTTTAAGTATTTGGCAACACAAGGAATTCCAGTGCCTCCTTCCTTTGAGAAACGTCTACTCGTTGATCGTGTAAAGCAGTACTGGAGTGGACAGCTCACAACACATGCCGTAGAGTCAGGGGAGAGAAGACCATACACAGAGGTGAGTTCTGCTTTCTGAAAGATCTGAGGATGCTTAGCATTGCTTTTGCAGGATAACCAGTGTAAATGTTCTAATGTACATCTAAAATGTGGCTCTTCACCTGTGTTTAGGAACTTACTGAATCTCTTTAACTCTTGGTTTGTTTGGTTTTTGTTGTTTTTAAATTTTTTTAAAAATTACATTATTTAAAGGTGTCTGTGCCAACGTATTACTTGCAGAGCACAGTCTTCTGCTCTGTCTTGCAAAGTATATTAGTGCATTTGAACTCTAATGTGTGGGGTCTTCTCCATGCTTTTAATTTTGAAGTTGCACTGTAAGCTAAAATAGGGGGTATTCACAAATAATTCTGTGGATTCAAGGACAACTGAAAACAGTGTTAATGGTACAGAAACCCTGCATACCTCCTTGTAGGTTTTTTAATGTGGTGGATCTTCTTAAACTTTTGGTATAGATCCAGGATTTCCAGCCACACCAGGCACTAGTGATACCATTGGCAGGGCACGTCCCAGACAAGAGCAAAGAGATGCTGTCGATAGTAAATCATAGGGCGAAGACGTCTGTCGGACTGTGGTCTAAAATGTTGCAGGGGAGGGAGGGAATGGAGAGAAAACTGCCTTTTTGTAAGTGGCCTTGATCTACTTCTAGAGGCAGTGCAATCAAAGTAGCACTGTCTGTAAGCTGTTTTCCTTTTCACCTCTTGCAGTTAGAGTGCAGAATGGATTTTAGCAAATTTTTATATGGTTGAAATGTAAAGTTTGTAGCAGTGCCAGGTCTGTGTAATTTTTTTCCCTTGATAGTAGTAACACTTAATACAGTGTAACTAAATGTGTTTTGGCAATTACAGGTTGTTTTGAAGTTCAAAAGTTTGACATTTAGCAAATCCTCGTGGTGTAGTGAACTTTCAGTGTTTTATTAGTCTTGGATCTTTACCATGTAGTTCTAAATAGCCACCTTGCTGTTCCAAGTGTTGTACTTCGGAGACCTAATGGGCAACAGCCCCACCAGCTGGCCTGTTAGAGCTCTGTAGCTGTTGATAACCTATTGCATTGAGCTTTCTGTCAGGAATTAACTGATGAGTATTATGATTTAGCTGAGAATTGTTTTCAAAATAATTTTTTGTGTGCATACTTTGGAAAAAAAAAAATGTTGCTCTTGCAAAAATGCTTCCCAAGTATTAACCCATAGCAAAGTTATGATTGCAGTAAATAAATTCTCCAAAGTACTTAAACACATTCACAAAGAATGAGAAGTTCAACTGGTTTATTTATCACATACGTCTTTCTTTGCCTTTGTTTTCTCTTCATTCTTGTGGCCCTCACCATTCTGAAGAAATGGGTAACATGAACCTGTGTAACAGAATTAGAAATTAATTAGAGTTTATTGTGAAACAAATACAGCATTTCTATATAGAAGTCTCTAAACTTTTCATACTTAATTACTTAATAATTGCTTAATTTAATACTTACTAGACTTAAATGTTAGCAAACTTGACATTTGATTTACTTCTAAAAGTCTTGCTGTCAAGTTGCAAATAGTGAGAAGCCCTACAAAATAACTGTACATTTAGTTCTTGTTCACAAAACACGTCACCTTACAGTTGGAGGTCATGTATCTTTATGTTGTAAAGTTTGGATGACTTGGCTGGATGGCCGGGCCCAAAGAGTTGTGGTGAATGGAGTTAAATCCAGTTGGTGGCCGGTCACAAGCGGGGTTCCCCAGGGCTCAGTGTTGGGGCCGGTCCTGTTTAATATTTTTATCAATGATCTGGACAAGGGGATCGAGTGCACCCTCAGTAAGTTTGCACATGACACCAAGTTGGGTGGGAGTGTTGGTCTGCTGGAGGGTAGGAAGGCCCTACAGAGGGATCTGGACAGACTGCATCGATGGGCCAAGGCCAACTGTATGAGGTTCAACAAGACCAAATGCCAGGTCCTGCACTTGGGTCACAACAACCCCATGCAGCGCTACAGGCTGGGGGAAGAGTGGCTGGAGAGCTGCCTGGCAGAAAAGGACCTGGGGGTGCTGGTCAACAGCCAGCTGAATATGAGCCAGCAGTGTGCCCAGGTGGCCAAGAAGGCCAATAGCATCCTGG